CGCACAAACACCGACGCCGACACACTCACACAGTCACAAAATAACACCCCATTTTTTACCCCCTCCCTGTCACGCCTCCAACCAAATTAGATTGTGATTGCTCTTTCCGAGGTCACTTTTAATTAAACTGAGATGAGAACATGACACATGGGATTAAACCCCATCCTACCACTTCAAATTATGAATTCATAACTAATGCTGGAGCCTATTGCTTTCAACCATGACCTCCATATCATTTATGTATAAGAGCAAAAGGAACGCCTCTAATTGTCTTCTTCGGCGGCGATAAAGAGCACGATGGAAGCACTGGGGAAGCATGTGTTTGTGTTTTAATACTCGTGCATGCCTACCTAACTGTAGCAGTCTTACACATTCACTAACAGGAGCCACTGGAGCCAGCAGAGGACATTTTCTCTGCTCCCTGTGGGTTACGCTTTAAATCGTGCAGAAATCATGCCGACAACCCTCTGGTGAATTAATGTGAATTTTGGCCAATAGGGGGCTGGCAGGTGTGTTACCGTTCATACTAAACATTGTCTCTGCAGTCTGGAACAAGGATTCTGATGACCCACTTATTTACCCTCCTGTATTGAATGGTTTGTTGTCCCATAGAGCGCTGACACTGTACTGAAAGAGCCAGTCTCTCGAAATACAATTTGATCTTTTCTTTGTGTGACAAAATATAATGGCCCCGGCCCAAAGTTAGTGGGTAGCTAATATTAGATTACAATTAGGGAAACTACAAGCCGGGGCAATCGAATGTATATACAATCAAAAAGCAACAGAAAAACAGGTGAAAATTAGAAACAACATTTCTAGTAATAGGATAATTTCTTTCAATTCTGATTAACTCCAAAAATACAGATTAGATTTTAACTAATCTTTGAAAATTGTTCCGTCTCAAACAATCTGATCACCTTTCACAAGAACAGAACTTCATTTGATTTGGCAAAGTTCTTGTGTTCTCTTAATATGCACATGTACGAATATGTGTTAATGAATATGATGGGGAAAAAAAAGGTCCACATTAGAACTTTATGAAACAACAGAACCATTCTTCTTATCAGAGGTTCCTTGTTAGTTGGCATAGAGCGGCATTCATTCTCCAGAATGGATGAGTATAGAACGATAAACTAAATAACCTTTCTCCTCAAATAATAATTAAAATTTCTATAATCTATTACATTATAACATCACGATATATCATTATTGTCATTGAATGTGTGCTTTAAGATACTGTTTTAGGAACATAATTAAGTCTGATCATGCATGAACACAAAACTTGATCCTAACTTCATGCTGTTGTCTGGATTGTTGTGAACATGCAAAGCTTCAGTTTGGCATCACTTTCTACTGAAAACTGGTAAATTGTAGTAAAAATTTCAATGAAGTTTCACGATTAAGAAAGACCACAACCTTTCTAAGCTCGTAAGGCAAAAAAAAGAAGAAAAAAAAGGACCAACTTGTGATATTGACACCAAAGTGCTTGTTTTATCTTGTGCTGTGCTCATTTAAATAATACAAAAATAAATTGTGACACATTCTATGTGATGATGAAATTCATGCAGGAAGGTCCCCTATTGGCTGCACTGAATGATAAAGTGCTACAGCTTGTACCACCTGGTGCAGTGCCCGATCCCAGCCTCCCCGTTTGGAATGAGATGACTGCTTGGCCTCCTGTCTCAGTATCAGTGACCAACCGCTCAATCCGAAACTCCACCCGACTGCATTGGGTTCTCAAAACATTCCCACTAAAACTCAGATTTGCAGAGACCTTACTTGGTATAACCTGCACCGTAGAGAGACAGGGTTAACCATTCCTCTGCTGATATAATGGGCTGCACCTAACGATTATTTCTAAAATGAGTAACGTCATGATTGTTTCTTTCAATTACTATAATGATTGCTTCATCAATTACTGTAAGGATTACAATTAATTTACCCAAAATAAATATCTAAAAGCATCATCATCCAATTCTCATGTCATCACTGTGGTATGATAATAATAATAATAATAATAATAATAATAAAACACCCTGTTTGTCAGATGCCGGATCAGACATGGAGCACAAATTATTTTAATAACTGTATGTCATAGAAGCCTTTCCCTCGACTGGGGAATCAGTGTTGTTACTTCATTTAAAAACTGAAAACGGTGACACGGATTTACTTTATTACTGGAGTAATACGCAGTTAAGATGATCACTGGCAATGTATTTTTGCATCATTGTGGGGCAAAGACAATAATTGAAATGATTTACAGCATGTAACAGCAGTAATTAGACTGAGCCATTTTCTCCTTAATGCATGGCTCTGACAGTAAACACAAAATATGAAACTGTTGAAGTACAATGTTGGATGACAGATGGCGTAACAAAACATTACCATAACAGCAGCAATGCAGGAATAGGGGCAATGCAGAAACATTTAGAGAACCAGTTTTGTGACTAACAGTGAGTCTGTGTAATCCTGATAGTCTACATCAAGCTTGGCCGGGGACAAAGTGAACTGGACTGCACTGTCTCTTGCTCCAATCTCAACAAAGCATCCGGGATGTTTTTGCTTCAAGTGCCTGTGCAGCGGTTGTACTAGTATGGGAAGCCATATCCAGTTTGTAGCACTGACAGAACACCACATTGTTGAGTCTCTGTCAAAAATAACAATCATGCGCAAGTTTTCTTGGCTACAGCTTGTTCTCCAAGAGAGTCCACGCTTTGACCAGACAGCCATTTCTGTGATGCACTGTGTTGTAATCGATGGCATCATTACATCGCAGAGTCAGCCCGGGCCGTCAACTGTAGT